AAAGATTTTATGTATGTATGTATTTATGAGAGAGAGCGCACGTGCGCACAAGCAGGGTAAGGGGCAGAGGGAGAGGCAGAGCCCTACTGAGCAGGGAGCCCAAATGTGGGGCTCGATCTCAGGACCCTGGGATCATGACCTGAGCCCAAGGCAGATGCTTAACTGACTAACCCACCCAGGTGCCCCACCTAGGCATATTTTAAAAGTTAGTTTGCTGTTTATAATTGATTTGAAAAGGAATTTGGCATTCTACCCTAAAGAGATTCTACCCAGCTAAATCTGAAGGAAATAACTGTTACCTATCAACCAGATGATTACTGGCTACATTGATTATTCAGAATACTTTTGGAGGACCCAAAAAATATAAGAAAGCAAAACTAAAGGATTTTTAAGGCTAGATTTTCTCCTCCTCTGCCTCTGCTTCCTTGATGTGTAATAGATGCTGACATATCTTTGTTTGGTTATTGTTCCTTGTCCTGGAAGGAACAAGACATGTGGATGGGAGAGCTTTGTTCTACCTCCCAATGATGCTTCTGTTTGCAGACCAAACAGTTAACATTGGCTGATGTTTGCAGATACCTTCAGGAACTGATGTTGACGTTGACTTTAGGGTAACAGACAAGTCCTTTTCTTGGCAAAGAGTTTTTGTCCCTCTGCCAGTTTAGATGAGACTCCCCTTTTGTTCTGTGCAATAACAAGCTGCCTCTGCTGCTTTCTCTGGGTTAATCACAGACAAGGCCCAACTGTTTGATATATATCAGCTGAGAGATAAACAAAAGCCCAGACCTAAATCTCAAATAACAAGAGGAAGAAGGACGCCTCCTTATCTACCAATCTCTTATCAAGTGCCTGTTGGGTCTTAGAATGGACTCTGACCAAGCACTTAGTGGACTGGAGCCTTATTGCACAGTTTATGATACACGATATTAGAAATCCTATAATTGTTAGTGAATGTGAAGATGTACCTACAATATTTATAAAACCATTGAGGTTATCACTCTCAGTAGGCTAGTTAGACCTTGAAGGCTGGTCCCATAGATGTTTATGTGCCTATGAGACACATAAAAACTGTGTGTTAGTAGGAGACTACACCTATTATCAGTAGACATCACCCCATTTAAAAAAATTTCTGCCTCTTAGAATTACTTGTTGGGGAAGTATCTTGAAAAAATTCGCATAACCATATTATTGTGTTGTCTGCCATTCTCCTCTCTGATAAGTAATTATAGCCTTTTTTTTTAATTTTTTAAAATTTTAATTCCAGTATAGTTAACACAGTGTTCATTTCCCCAGGCTAGTTGTCCATACACCACACACCAAGCTTCGGACATTCTGTGTTGTAACAAACCTTCTTTCAGTGCTGGCAAACTAGCTATAATAGTATATCTGCATGTAGCCACTCACAGATAACTTTTTATGGAAGGGCCAATAAAAGCCCTATTAGAAAGAGGTAATTATGATTTTAAACAAGAGTCACAGGTCAGGATTCCAAGTGAGATTTTATCATGCCATAATTTAAAGAATATTGTGACAATTACAGATAGCAGTATTTGTAAAGTGCCTACTATCACATCCATCACACACACTACATTGCAGTTCTTCTTATTTGACATTGTCCATTCTTCCTTGGTTTGCCATATGAATTTAAGATTTAGTCACCCTGTCATTAATCTTAACAAAGACATACCATTCTTCTTTTAATTCTAGCAAGGTCCTGGATGTTTAGTTTTCTTTTCTCCTTTTCATTATAATACTCAGGAATGTATGAGATAAGTGGTCCTAGAGAGTCATGAATCATTGATTTGCTTTTAGATAAGACATCTGAATCTTCCTAAATATTAAAGTTTTGTTCAGAGACAGAGGTTCAGATTCAGTTTTTTCCACCCTTTACAGTCATATTGCCAGAAAAATTGTTCTTAATATCAAGCACAAGTAACCAATCAAACTGGTGTCCTCCCATTCTGGCCCAGTGAAAGAGAAGAGCTCCAAAACAACCTTGTGTTTGTGGGAAGAGTTTATAGTCCCCACTTCTCCCTTCTTCTGAGACCCTGACCACCAAACCTCTAATGCCCAGTCCAAGGACTTGGTATTTAAAGTTCAGTGTACAAGAGCATATAGTTTCCTGGAAGATGCCCACATATTTACTCAGACTTTGGCTAGGTTATACCAGGGAAAGTAAACCCATCATTTAATTGAGTTAAAATCATAGATACTAAGTTAAACATTTCTAATATAGTCATTGGTAACTCGATTAATCAATTTTTATTGAGTAGTGTATTTGTATGCTCATTCTCTTTCAATATACTGATATTTAATATTGCTTCATTCATAACTTTGGGATATTTTTCATATGAAACCTCTTTTGGGCTACATATAGGAAATACTTATAAACAAATATTTTGTGGAATTCGGGAGATACATTGTAAAAGCTTCCATTCTGCCTAAGATAAGCCTTGGTAATTCTCTGATTCCCACAAACTTAAGTATTGGCTGTTGAGAAAAATATTTTAGTACTTTAAGATAAATATATCACTTTAATAATTACTGCTTATTTTCAGAGTGGTACAATAACAAATTCCTTTCTGACTAGTGACTTCTATTCATGGATATAGCACTATAAAATAATCCACCCTTATCGTTCATATTTCTGGGTAGTTGAGTAAGATAGGAACTATTTTTGATATGCAGGAGCAAATACTGAAGCAGTGGGGTTACACTTTCTGTCAACAAAGGTATCAACTGCCAGAAAACACTGATAAGTCCCATTTCAAGCAAGTAGAGTCTGGATAATACCAAACTACAAGACAAGAGTCATTGCGTGTGAACTGGCGGTACTGCCAAAGTGAATTACCATGCTCACCCAAAATAAACACCCTGAAGTTTAACAAAGCTAGGTCATCCATCTGCAAGGTATGTAGTGGGATAGCTAGTGAAAAACCTTTTGATTTGTCAAAGCAATTTTAAACTACTGCCATTTCTCCAAGCCAGAGGTTGAAAAGGTCAAGGGAAAGCTTTAAAAAGTGATAACGTTGTCTTGGAGTTGGGGGACATATGGTATTTGCTAAGCAAATGGCAGAGTGAATGAATGCTGATGAGATGTGCTCTCTTCTGGAGCCGCCTCTGAGAACAGAATTAAGAATAGCTCTCCTATTCTGACCTTATCACTCATGTGCTGTCATCAGGAAATGTAACTTAAACTCTTTGGACCTCAGTTTCTCCATGTGTAAAATAAGATGACTGGAAAAGACACTTTTTCAGTTTCTATCAGGATTCCTCAGAGAATAGATACAGGATCTTGGTTCAAATTATCATTTCTGGAGAAAAAAACTATAGTAAAAATGGTTCAATTTATAATTTATAAAACATTATCTTTTTTTAATGGACGAAGTGTCAGTTTTCAGGTACGGTAAAAATTAAACAGGAGGTAAATCTTAATTGGAATACTTCAATGAAAACCAAAATCACAGAAAGGATTTTGTTAAAATTGAAAATTCATTGTATCAAACCAAAATCACAGAAAGGACTTTGTTAAAATTGAAAATTCATTGTATCAATCGAACAACCATTAAATTTTAAGTATATCCTTAGTTTTATATATATTAGTCTCCTCTCAACTGTTAAATTGAATAATGAAATTGCATTTCTATGGGTTAAAAACAGTCTTGTGTCATCAATTTCATCCTGTAGATGTGATTTTCATGGGAGCAGGGTACAATGCTGTGTGTTCTGTTTTTGTTCTTTTAATTCCTGATACCATACTGGGTACATTTGTTCTTTGATAGTATGTATTGAAATCAGTATTTGGGGGCAGAAAGCCTTTTTGAAATCACTTAATGCAATATATATTTTAAAGATGAATAAAATAAGACCCAAAAAGTTCTCAGAATTATAGTTCTTTTGATGTTCAGGATGAAAGACATTATAAACAAAAACCTTTGAGTATACATTAGATACTCTACCTATCAGAAAAAAGAAAAAAAAACTGGTCTGATAAATTTTATAGTTCTTTGCAATTAAGTTAACAGAAGGAAATAAGTAAGTGTGGTTCTCAAAATTCTAAAAATCTGAAGGTGCTGTTCTTTTACCATTTTTGTTAACAGAGGTATTAACATTTTGGGGGAAAAAATTTTAATGTTAATGCTGACAAAATCTTAATCCAAAGGAACATGGTAATAATAGTAATGCTAGAATATAAACATGATCTGAATTTGAAATTTGATCCCAAAATAAATTACTTTGCTATATTTGATAAGTTTCAGGTCTCTATAAGCAAGCAACCTCTACTTGTAGATATAGTCACTGTTTATAGAAAGGTGTTATGGCCTCACAAAATTAGAAATAGACTAAGTGCAAAGATATTTATAGGTCATGCTTTTGACCTAGGTCTTACGAACTGTAGAACTTCACATTTTTGTCACATCGCTCTGCCATTTTCATTATAGAATCATCACATTGTAGAACATCTGGTTTGACATTTGTCAATAATTGTTTAACACTGAAAGCTACAAAACCCCAAAATAATAGAGTCCAACATCATGTCTTCACAAATGAGGGAACTGAGGTCCAGAGAATTTAAGTCACTTTAAGTTACTTAGAGTTAAGACACAGAACAGATTGGGACTTATACATATAGTATCCTGCTATGTCAACTATGCCATTTGTTCTTTTAGTTGCAAGGTGTTTGCTTCATTTCTACCCTCTCAAAAATAGATTGCGAATTTAAGTAAATGACGCTGTGGGCTTGGTGCTTGGAGTGAGGTAGACAGAAAGCCGTTATTGACATGGTGACATATTATATGAATGTAGTTAGAGGTTGTGTCCAGATTTGATGACCACTGGACAATTGATAATGAATTGACCCCAGGACATGTCTGCCACGCTTTTATAGATTTGTCAGTTTTCCAAACACTTGGAAGAAGCATCAATCAAATAAAGCTTTGAAACAAAGGCCTATTGGATAACAGAGCTCAAGTCTTATGTTTGTTTGTTTTTCCTGATAGAAACATGAGTTCGGCGGGCCCTGATGGGAGGAAAGTGATGAGAAGGTGTGATGGACTGATCGACTCACTGGTCCATTATGTCAGAGGAACCATTGCAGACTACCAGCCAGATGACAAGGTGATTCATGTGTTAAATATCTCTCATTTGAGTTACTTACTTTGTCTTACTAAGACACTGCAGAGTATTCTGGAAGTAGCTATTTGGGTTTTACTCATTAACTCATTTGCTAAGCTTAAGATTTCCCATCCATGCTTAGAAATATTAAAATCTACCTACCCCATTTTTCTATCTACTTTCCAGACCCAAATTTATAACTACCTATTTAACAACTCTATGTAGATATTTGAAAGGAGCTCAAGCACTCTATGTGCAATAATGAACTTAAAGTCATCTCTTCCCTTGTTCCCAAACTTGCTCCTTCTCTGAATAGTCTTTCTTAATAATTATCATCACCCATCAAATGAAAGCAGAAATCTGAGTAATCTCTGACTGCCTTCCTTCCCTCACATCCTGTATCCATCAGGCAGCAAACCATGTGCATTCCACCTCAAAATGCTCCCTATTTGGTCCACTCCTCCCTCATGCTGCTACTGATGCATCTTTCATATAGCCTTTCTTTCAATAGCCTCCTAACCAGTCCTACAAACAATTCTGTTTCCCAGTTCCTTGTGGCTACTAAATTATGTATCTTAAAATACAGAATTATCTGAACACACTCTCAAAAGTAAATTAGAAAGGCTCTCTAGTGGTTTAAGAAATTCAGCCTCTACTTAGCAGTGCGCTCCTGACCATTCATGATCTATCCATACTCATTCCACTCCCCCGGACACAGTCCAAGTACATCCTACTGCATCCAGTAAACTGTAAGGTTTGAAGGTAGTAAATCCTGTGGATAGCATACCTACAAAGAGATGTCTATATGTATGTGACTAATATTCATGTCCTGTTTTCTCAGGCCACAGAGAACTGTGTGTGCATTCTTCATAACCTCTCCTACCAGCTGGAGTCAGAGCTCCCAGATAGATACTCCCAGAGTATCTATATTCAAAACCGGACTATCCAGACTGACAACAACAAAAGTATTGGGTGTTTTGGCAGTCGAAGTAGGAAAATAAAAGAGGTATATTGGGAGGACTTTGTTTCTTTTTCTTTTTTTTTATTATTATTTTTTTTATTTACTTATGATAGTCACACAGAGAGAGAGAGAGGCAGGGACATAGGCAGAGGGAGAAGCAGGCTCCATGCACTGGGAGCCCGACGTGGGATTCGATCCCAGGTCTCCAGGATCGTGCCCTGGGCCAAAGACAGGCGCCAAACCGCTGCGCCACCCAGGGATCCCTATTGGGAGGACTTTGGAAGAAAAAGTGTGTATGTGTGTATTTCTGAGTACTTAGTAAATGTCAGGCACAATTTAAAGTTGTTTTAATCTTTACATCAACTGTATGAGGTGTGTATTATTAATATCCTCATTTATTGACAAGGAAGCAGAAGTACAGAAAGGTTAGTTAATTTTCCCAGAAAAATCCAAAAAATTAGTCGAGGGGATGGAATTCAATCCCAGGCAGTCTGGCTCCAGATTTGCATTATTAGCCACTATATCATACTGCTGTATGCTTAATAAGTTAGGAAATGAGCTTAGGGCAGCCCCCATGGCCCAGCGGTTTAGCGCTGCCTTCAGCCCAGGGTGTGATCCTGGGGACCTGGGATCGAGTCCCACATCGGACCTGCTTCTCCCTCTGCCGGTGTCTTTCTCTCTCTCTCTCTCTCTCTCTCTCTCTCTCTCTCTCTCTCTCTCTCTCTCTGCCTCTCATGAATAAATAAATAAAATCTTTTAAAAAAGGTTTTTTTTAAAAAAAAAAAAAAGAAAGAAAGAAAATGAGCTTAATACAGCATAGCCAATGATGTATAAATTATTCAGCATTAAAAGCAACCTGGTGTTTGGCCTAAAAGTACATCCATCTGAAGGAATACTGTCTATACTGGCATTTCATGAAAACCGGAAGAATGTAACCCCCCTATTCCTCGGACTATCATGGTACACTTGGAGAGCAACTGCTAAACTTAGAACCCTGATGTCATCCTAGTCAACTTCACAAGACTGAGGGAAGAGACCTGTTTTTCTTATCTTCACAGTGGTTGTGACTAACTTAGCTTTTAGCTTAGCAGCAGCCTGAAAACTATTCTAGTACAGCTCATGCTTAATTTTCGAGTTTTTCTCACTATGACATGTAAAGTTGGGGAGCCTCCGGGGTGTTGTTAAGGAGAAATAGTCGTTGTGAGCTAAAAGTTAACTGGTTGGAAATCATACACATTTGTTTTTCCATTTCTGGGGCTTGTTATTATGCAAATTACCAGTCTCTCTAGACTAGATGGTATCTCTGGTCCCTTAGTTTGGGTGTGGAATTGTAGAAGTCACTTGAAGGCATTAATTCTGGATTTCTTTGTATATGTGGTTAGCAATATCAGGACATGCCAATGCCAGAAGAAAAGAGCAACCCAAAGGGTGTGGAATGGCTGTGGCATTCCATCGTGATACGGATGTACTTGTCCTTGATTGCCAAGAGTGTCCGAAACTACACTCAAGAAGCATCTTTGGGAGCTCTGCAGAATCTCACTGCAGGAAGTGGACCAGTGAGTATCACCGCTGTTTTTCTGCTTTTTAAAAAGAATGACATTGTAGGACATACCTACATTAGATTCAGAGATGAGACAGTGAAATAAAAACAGAAGTATTCTCCCTTCAGTCAAGACAGTTCTCAGTAATTGCCAGCAAGAGTTCCAGCTTTCTAGGACTTTCAGCTTCAATTTCTACAGAGCCAGGTCAGGTGGTGAGTGAAAGACTCCTAGATATTTACATTAGAGCTCTCTCAGTTAATAAGTCTCAGAATCCTACCTAAACTGGCCAGGGCAAAAAAAAAAAAAAAAGAGGAATTTCTTGGCTCATTTAACTGAAAAGTCAAGGTAGGTCTTCTTTCTGTCTCGGCAGATAGGTACCCCAGCAATTGTGATGATAACTCTATCTCTGGGTTCTCTTTTCCCCTTTTTTATTCTAAAAGGCTCTTTTCATATGATAGCAAAGGTCACTGATGCTTTCAGACTTGCATTTTATCCAGCCCAATGTCCTCACAGGAAAAAACAAACAAACAAACAAAAAAACTGTTTTCTCAATAGCTCCATTTGGAACTCAAGAAATGAGTCTCACTTGCCCATATCTGAATAAGTACCTGAGGCTAGGAGCCTGTGATGTTCTGACTGGCCAGATCTGGGTAACGTGCCCACCTGTGAATTTCAGGGGTGTAGGTTTGAGCAGGCAGGGATCACTGCCACTTGTACTCTGTGGTCTGAAGTGCTAAAGGAGTGGCTCATTACCAGAAGGAAAAATGAGTGCTGGTCAGGCAAAAACAACACATGTCTACTGTGTCTGGAGTTGGAAAGAACATCTGTGCTTTTATGTCCCAGAAATTTACCTAAAAAATAAAGAGCTGCTTCTCTTCCTGATGCACTTCCTTTATACCAGCTAAGTCAAAATACATAAAACAGTAGTAAAGGCTTATTCCCTTCCCTATGTATTTTGCACATTGCTACATGGTTAGGGATTCCATAAATATTTGGTTATTTGAACTAAGGTTGTATCCTTTGTCCTGATCATGAAATTATTAGAATTAATCCCCCCACACACAAAATAGTGTGTCAGTATATGTCCAGTTTCCAATTATCCATCCCCATAGAGAAGAGTACTCTTATGGATAACAAAAATATTATTTATTCTTTAATTGAGAAGCCATGTTCATTCTTTAATGTGTTTACACAGAAGGTTGCTCTGTTTTGAACAAAATTGTGAAATACTAAAACCAGTAAGTCTCTTATCTTAGCACTGTGGTAAAAATATGACCAAACTTAAGGCACCCAGCTGGCTCAGTTTGAGTAGAGCATGTGACTCTTGATCTTGAGGTTGTAAGTTGAACCCCACGTTGGGTGTTCAGATTACTTAAAAATAAAATCTTAAAAATGCATATATATGACCAAACTTTATAATCTCTTTGATTTTCTGCAAAATTTACTTGTACACAAAGAGGAAGAAACAAGAAAACTGCCAGGGAGCCTTGAATGATGCACAGACATCTTACCTTCCCATTTTCCCATGCTAGTTTCCCAAAACCATTCCTTTCACTTTCCCAAACTGTGGAAGCCCTCTTGTTAACCATCAGCCAACTTAAAAGAAAATGTTAGGAATTAACTTGGTATGCATGTGTGTGTGTGGATATCTGAGTTCACTGTGCCCTGAGTATGGTTCAATATGAGCTAACCCTTTAAGCCTGGATTTTAGCCTCTTCCATTCCAAGATCATGGCATACAAACAGTCCAGAGATTTTTCCATATTCCTGAGGATGGATACAGAAATATTTGTGCCACTTAAGTTCTGAATATGTAGTTTATTAACTTAGATCTTAAGTTCCTCCATTCATTGTTTGAGCACCTACTATATAGCAGGTACTAGCCTAGTGCTGAGTACATGGCAGTTAATAAGACAAAATAGGACAAAATTAATAAGCAATTAATAATTCATTCATTTTTTGAGCACCTACTATATAGCAGGTACTAGACTAGTGCTAAGTACATAGCAGTAATAATCTAACTGGGATAAACAAACAGAAATTTAAAGTACTAGAAGGTTCCAAGTCCAAAAGGAATCCAAGCATTGGAGATATCTTCATAATTATCCTAATTGTGTCAAGGCATTGAAAATCCTATCTAACGTTAGACCAGTCTGGTCCCCTAAAAGGAGGCCTACACTGAACTAGTATTAATCTATACTCAAAGTTGTTAGAGTTTAATTTGACTAGAGATTTATAGAATAAAATCATTAGCACCATGGAACAAGAATGTGTTCTTTTAAATTACAAGATGCTTTTTATTAAAATATCCTTTCTAATTATTACTTTTCCTAATTTTGTTATACTTAAATGATATGATAAAAAATATTTGTTTTTATAATTTCTGAGAAGACTCACTTAATAGGAAAATGTGAAAAGCAAGGCATTTAAAATAGTTTCAGAAAATACCCAGTGCATTAACCATAATGAGAGTTCATAATGAGAGTGCTGAGCAGTTGATGGCCATGTGCCTGAAATGGGAAAGAACCTAAACTAAAATGAATAGCTTCCTAAAAGATAGGTTATGTCATTTAAGTATAAAATTACTACAGTAATTTCTAATCAGTATACCTACATTAATAAACTTTATTGGTCCAGATATAGTGGTCTTTCTAATAATAAATAGGATAGAGAAAGGATTAATAAAATTTACCCAGTTAGCAAACTCTCTAAGTACAGTATGAACTAAAAGTACATTATAAATTAAAAGATTAAGGTACCAAAAAGAAAAAAAAAAAAGATTTAAGGTACAAACTTTCCATTATAAGATAAGTAAATCCAGGCGATCCTTGGTTGGCTCAGCAGTTTAGCGCCTGCCATTGGCTTAGGGCGTGATCCTGGTGCCCCGAGATTGAGTCCCGCATCAGGCTCCCTGCATGGTGCCTGCTTCTCCCTCTGCCTGTGTCTCTGCCTCTCTCTCTCTGTCTCTCATGAGTAAATAAATAAATAAAATCTTTAAATAAAAATAAGTCCTAAAGATATAATGCACAGAATGGTGACTATAGTTAACAATACTATATTATATATTTGAAAGTTGCTGGAAGAGTAGATCTTAAAAATTATCATCACAAAAAAAATAAAAAATAAAAAAATTATCATCACAAGAAGAAAAAAATTGTGATCATAAGTGATGGATATTAACTAAACTTATTGTGACAAGTATTTTGCAGTATATAGGTATATCAAATCATTACGTTTTACACCTAAAACTAATTGTATTACTTTAGTTATGTGTCAGTTATATATCAATAGAAATAAGTTAAACATCACATAATCAAAGTTAAAAGTCATTGAAATAAGCACTTTTCAAATTTCTAAAACACTTTAAAACTGTTTAATTTAATTAATATCTGTTGGAATAAAACAAAACATATCCCTTACCCTCACACCTTACTAGAAAACAAGTTCTAACAGCAATGAGATTTAAATAAGAAAGACAAAACAGTAAAGCTTATGGAAGAATATCTTCATGACCTGGAAGAGAGGAAGACATTTTTAAAGTGGACACAAAAAGTACTACTATAAAGTACATATTTTATAAATTGACGACATTAAAATAATAACTTAGGTTGTTATGTTTTCAGAAGACATTTATTAAGACCGTAAAAAGGCAAATCACAGAGTAGAAAAAAAATGTTTGCAACATATGTATGTAACAAAGGTTAGGGCCTAGAAAATATTAAAAAACTCATCAAGTTAACAATCAAAAGATCATCTCCTGAGATGATACTAAATCTTTAGGAAAACTTGATAACATTTTATTCATATAATTCAGTTCGGTAAACATTTACATAGGACCTCTCATGTTCTGGGCACCATAGAAAGCCCTGAGGAGGGAAAAAGAGATGGATAAGATCCATGTCCTCCTTTAAAGGAACTTATGTTCTAATAGGAGAGAGAGCGGTTTAGTATATTGGTAGCCTCACGAATTAGGAACTAATGATAAGGAAAGAGAGGAAAGTAGATGCCAGCCCATATGAAGACAATTGAACATCATCCTGGAGACAATGGAGAGTCATTACAGGGCTTAAATGTGAGGTGAACATAATTAGATTAAATTTTAGGAGGATCGTTCTGGCATAAGGCTTTGAATCTCCAATAGGCGTTTTAAAAGACAGTAAGTTGACTGGCGACATTTGGTTCCTAGTGAAGACTGGAGACCATAAATTTGCAGAAATATCAATCCACAAATGCAGTATTTAGTCTAGCAGTATTTAGTGACCAAGTATAAAATTAGTTTTGCAGTTTTAATGGGTAGGTGGAAAGAAGCTGGAATGATGAGAGTTAAGGGTCTTGAAAGACAGTTTTTGATGTGTTGGCTCCTGTACCCTAATCTAAATAAGAAAGAAAGGAAAGGCAGGAGATGACTAACAGCTTGAGGTGTGGGGAGTAGAGGTTGAGAGGAAAGCACTGAAGCTAAAGAAGCTGAAGAAGAAATATGGTGGGAGTGAGGGGGAGAGAGCAAAGAGAACAGGAAATTATGTTCAGAGTCTAACATTGGAGTTTAGGTTTTCGGAATCCAAGCATTTTGCGGTGAATACAGATTCTGGATGACCATGGAAGTGAATGGCTGATATATGGGAGAGATGAAGGTCAGTGACATTGAGGAGCTATGATGGAATTAATGTGGTCATCTATAGTGAATAGGAGGTGGAGAAGGCTCTGAGCCAGGAGCCAGGCCCTGAGCCTCCAGTGAATGTTGGGAAAGAACCAGTAGGCCCTCAGATGACAAAACTCTCTGGCAGTGATAGAGCTGGATAACAGTGACTCAGAAGAGCAGAATTTTTGCATGTGAGGGAAGAAGACATTATCTAGATGGGCTATTGGGGAGAGAAAGGAATGCTAACCTACCTTTGTGCCCAAGTCACAGGAGTGGTAGAGAATAAATAGCCTCCTCTCTGTGTGGCTACAGAGGAAGGATTCTTCTGAATGGAGCAAATAGTTTAATGGAGTGCTCTGCAAATTAGTGAAAGACAAAGTATAACTCGTTTATAATAAAACATTCTGAAGTAGTGATTATTAAACTTTGGAAACATGGACACTGAGTACCTAATAGAAATTATAAATGCTTGCCCTGAGAAAGTTTATCATAAATACAAAAATAGGCTTTGTTTTGTTTTGTTTTATTATCTTTTTTATTTTTATGTAATCTCCACACCCAATGTGGGGCTTGAACTCACAACCTCGAGATTAAGACCATAGGCTCACCAACTAGCTAGCCAGGTGCCCCAACACAAAAATAGTTTTAAGGACCTCCTGTCCCATCCCAGAAACCTACCCTGGGCCCTCTATTAAGAACCCCTATTCTAAAAAGATAGTGGAAAATGTAAGGAGAGCAGTCTGCAGGAGGGAGGGGCAAATAAGCAGTGTTTAGATAAACAGAGAAGATAGACACCCTGAAGAATGGTCAAGAATTATAGGCATTTCTGGCAGGTGGCCTCAAGTTAGCTTCAAATACAAATCTACAAAGTTGTGGGGCACCTTAGTTGCTCAGTGGTTGAGCTTTGGCTCAGGTCATGATCTTGGGGTCCTGGTATCAAATCCCACATCAGGCTCCCCTGAGGGAGCCTGCTTCTGTCTTTGCCTCTCTCTGTATGTCTCTCATGAACAGATAAATGAAATCTTTAAAAAAAAAATCTATAAAGTTGTAGACACAAGCCGAGACCCCAGTATTAGAGGTTTACTGATGCTAGGAAGGTACTAACATCAGTACTCAGACCCCCTGAAAGTATGTGGCCAACCTAATTCCAAATAAGATTTGCACCTACAGCCTCTGATGGAGAGCATAAAATTAGAGTAACCTAACTAGCCATACATTCTTTTCTTTAAAAGCCCAATATCTCCTTTAGAATAAGCTGGCTTTTTAGAAAAGAGTAAATTTGTTAAAATATATAAAATGCCAAAATGTGAACAAGAAGGTGACCAAGGCAACAGCTAGCATATATGCTGAAATATTAAAGACATCTCCCTTTAAAATTTTTCTCAGTTCAGTTGTCTTTATAGCTAGATTCCACCAGGCCCACAAAGTTGGGATTATTCTTGTATTAAACAAATAGTTCAAGGAAATTAAAAAAGTGAAAACATTATGCAACTAATTGCATGACGCTAGAGTTTGATTCTAAAATATCACCCTTATATTCTTTCCACAGTGCTGAGTTTAAAAATGTGAATAAAGAGGAAGGGAAAAAAAAAGACAGGCCCATTTTATTTATAACCATGCAAAAATATAGTAAATAACCCAAATCCAATATTCTATTTAAAAATACCAAATAGGGCAGCCCAGGTGGCTCAGCAGTTTAGGCCACCTTCAGCTCAGGGCGTGCTCCTGGAGACCCGGGATCGAGTCTCCTGTTGGGCTCCCTGCATAGAGTCTGCTTCTCCTTCTGCTTGTGTCTCTGCCTCTCTCTCTCTCATGTGTAAATAAATAAAATATTTTTTAAAAATTAATCAATCAATCAATTAATTAATTTAAAATACCAAATAAGGGCACCTGGGTGGTTTAATCAGTTAAGTGTCTGCCTTTGGCTCAGGTCATGATCCCAAGGTCCTGAATGTAAGCCCTGAACCTGGCTGCCTGCTCTGTGGGGAGTCGGCTTCTCCATCTCCCTCAGCTCCTCCTCCAAACTGTGGTCTTTCTTGCTCTCTCTTTCAAATAAATAAATAAAATCTTTAAATAAATAAATAATAAAAAAATTAAAACACCAAATAAGCTGTTTTTATCCTGTAATAAAATTGAAAACATATTAAGAATTCATTTATTAGGGCACCTGTGTGGCTCAGTGATTGAGCATCTGCCTTTGGCTCAGGTCATGGTCCACAGGTCCTGGGATAGAGTCCCACATCAGGCTCCCCTCAGGAAGCCTGTTTCTCCCTCTGCCTCTCTGTGTGTCTCTCATGAATAAACAAAATCTTTTTTAAAAAATAATAAAAAGAATTCATTTATTGTATTTATTTATTTGAGAGAGAGAGCATGAGCAGGGAGAGGGGCTGAGGGAGAAGGAGAAGCAGGCTCCTCACTGAGCAGGGAACCCCAGAGCCTGATCCCAGAACCCCAGGATCATGACCTGAACTGAAGGTAGACATGAAAACATAAGAATTTAAAGGAAATATCTTCAGACTAGGTTCATCACAGCCCTAGTTTTCAAAACATCTTTCTCAGTCTCTAGTAACCTACAGAAATTTAATATTAGCATGAAGTCAGGTGCAATAGTATTGATAAGACATGTCTCATGCAACAGATGCCGACGTCAGTAGCTCAGACAGTTGTCCAGAAGGAAAATGGCCTTCAGCACACCCGCAAGATGCTGCATGTTGGTGATCCAAGTGTGAAAAAGACAGCAGTCTCCCTGCTGAGAAATTTGTCTCGGAATCTTTCTCTGCAGAATGAAATTGGTGAGTCAGCAAATGTGTCTCGATGTCGTGAATACATACTGAAAATACAAATGCAGTGGAACTATCTCATTTTCTACAATGACGAACTGAAAATGGGACCAAGGAGCAAAATGTGATAAAGAGACTTGCCTGGCCCTTGCACCAAGGCACCAGGATAGGCTTTGTTCTCAGGTCTCAAATAGGATTTTTCTTAATGTCCAACATTTTTTTGTTTGTTTTAATTACTACAGAAGAGAAATTTTAGACTCAAATGTAATTAACAAGGTAGATAACATACCTGATGTTTCTCAGACTTCCGTTACACAGTCAAGAAAGTGGGAGTGCTCTGTGTGTGGCCTGCTTAAGCACTGCTCTTCCAAACCATTGAAAATATACATACAGCGGTCCTCACTTTAGAGGTTTGGTCCTCACTGCACTAGAAAAAAATGGATGGGCATGCAAAAAAGACAAAAAGGAGGAGTCACTGAATATATGTTGAATTCGACATGCACTTGCAATGATACAGATGGAACTAGAGTGTATTGTGCTAAGTGAAATAAGTCCATCAGAGAAAGACAATTATATGATATCGTATGTGGAATTCATTTTTTTTTAATTTTTTTTTTTATTTATTTATGATAGTCACAGAGAGAGAGAGAGAGGCAGAGACACAGGCAGAGGGAGAAGCAGGCTCCATGCACCGGGAGCCCGACGTGGGATTCGATCCCGGGTCTCCAGGATCGCGCCCTGGGCCAAAGGCAGGCACTAAACTGCTGCGCCACCCAGGGATCCCCGCATGTGGAATTTAAGAAACAAAACAGAGGGAAGGGAAGGAAAAATAAGATAAAAACAGAGACTCTTAACTATAAAGAACAAATTGAGGAGTGCTGGAAGAGCAGTGGGTGGGGGAATGGGGTAACTGGGTGATGGGCATTAAGGAGGGCACTTGATGTAATGAGCACTGGGTGTTATATAAGACTGATGAACCAGTAAATTCTCCCCCTGAAACTAATAATATCCTATATGTTAACTAAGTTAAATTTAAATAAAATATTCCTTAAATTAAAAACAAATTTGGCATAGAGGATTTTAAAATGAATACAATGAAATATGTGCTCCCTCTTTTGAATCTGTACTGACAAAGATAACTGTTACACTATCAAATAATGTTCTGTTCATTTGCTTTATACATAGAAATGTCTGATAAATGTTTGTGAATCAAGTAAAGAACTGTAAAATGAAAAAAAAAAAAAAGAACTGTAAAATGAGTTAATAGGAAGATAATGCCAAAATCAATCGTGCTTCCTAATGCTCTATAAATTAGTCATTCCTGACAACTCAAAATTCAGTTTTTCACAAATTTCAACTCAAAATTCAGGTTTTCACAAATTTCCACTAAAATTATAAACAAACTCTTGTTTGGTTTTAGCACCAAAGATACTGAAGTCTGTGGTTATGTTTTAATAATGTCATTGCCAAAGCCAGCCGGCAGCACAGTATTGCACGGGCGGTTTCATACAATGGTTTCATGCCCATTATAAATATAGAGAGAGCCTGGAAATTTTTCAGTGAATCTAAAAGAAACCTTGCCACAGGCACTCTGAAAATTATCAAAGTGTTCTCCTCATTGTCCTTTGTGAACTTTGTGCTGCACTTTAATCAAGTATATTATCCTTTGGCTTTTTTTTTTTTTCTTTTCCCAAAGGAAATGTTGACTCCATCTTTAAAACAATGCTGATGGAGGTAACTGCACTCAATGCATTATGCACATGCCTGTAGGGCAGGAATGCTGTCGCTCTCATGTTCTACCGTCCTCTAACTCTTGGGAAGATGCAAATGTAGCCCACTCTTTACTTTTTTTATATATAAATAAACATTTAATTCTTCAATTGAGGAAATGGCCTTAGCAGAATCAAGGGGATTTTTTGCATTTTACTATACTTAATGTTTATTTGTTTCTGTGTTTGCCTATGTTGAGTGAGTTCTGGCTTTGATACATTGCATCTTAAATTTTTTTGGCTCACCTGGGTAATTATAATATCGATACTCTTTTTTCTCTTAATACGAAATGGCTTAACAATGTGACTTCTCATCCCATACTTGTCACTCTTAACCAGAAGCTAGATAAATGGAAAATCATTGGTTTGGATGGTTTTATTAAAGAACCACAACTTCAGGTTTTTTTAAGAAAAGATATGTGCCTATTTTAAAAATGCAAGCAATTAAGTAAAGCACAACAAATAAGACCAAAAAAAACTTCCTTTTACCACTCAGAAAGCAACCATTGTTAACCTTAGGTGAATATTATTCTAGATCTCTCTCTGTGCTTATAGACAGATAAAAGTTTAGAGAAACAGGAAGATATATAAAAGATATTAAAATTGGATTGTGTAACATCTAGTGGCTAACAAATTATTAGAGTTAATTTTAACAAAACAAAAGCAAACTGAGTGATGTAGAATAACTGAACTTCAGATAAATTTTTCATTACGTTTCAGGCATGTTTTAGAGATTGTGATAATGTGTCATCAAGTTTTTCTCAGTACTGATTTTTAAGTCTTGGCCAAACTTAGAGGAATGTCTTAACTGCATGTGAAGTAATATTAGTTTCCTCAATTCCAATAATTTCCCTTGTTGTAACATGTGTAGCATGCATGTGACATATGTGTAACATATATAACATGTGTTTTGCCACTAGCCTGTAAAAAGATAAAGTGGAAAGAAACAAAGAAAGGAAAGAAGAAAGAGAAGGAAGGGAGAAAGGGAGAGAGGGAAAGAGAGAGGAAAATTTCTATTCCAATGTCCAAATTCCAGTTTGTCATTTTAGTGGCCCTCTTTTTTTATTTTTTTTAAGATTATTTATTTATTTATTCATGACACACACAGAGAGAAAGAGAGGCAGAGACACAGGCAGAGGGAGAAGCAGGCTCCATGCAGGGAGCCTGACATGGGACTCAATCCTGGGTCTCCAGGATCAGGGCTGCAGGTGGCACTAAACCGCTGAGCCACCCGGGCTGCCCTAGTGGCCCTCTTAATTAAAGTGCCATGTAACTTGTAGATGATGCCCATTGACCATTATAGGGAGGACCAGTGTTTTGTTAAATAGGTCTAGCCTTCTCCTTTATTCTGGAATAAGTCCAAAGGACCATTATGGTACAGTCACATCAGAGTTTACTGTGACCAGCTTGATCCAAATCCTCTCACTAATGAAGTAGTTTGCACTCAGAGTCTAGTTTTGTTCAATTTATTTTATGTAGCCTGTTATCGTAGTGAGGCTTTTATCCATAAAATTCTAGTAAGATTATCTTTATTGGGTTTTTTTTGCAACTTTTAAAATTTTAATTCTAATGTAGTTAACATACAGTGTTTATACTCATTTCAGGTGTACAATGTACTGATTCAACAACTCTATACATTACTCAGTGCTCACCAGGATAAATGTGCTCTCAATCCCCTTCACCTATTCCATGCATCCTCCCAGCCACCTCCCCTCTGGTGACTGTTTGTTCTCTATAGTAAAGGGTCTGATTTTTGTTTTGTCTTTTTTTCCCCTTGTTCATTTGTTTTGTTTTTTAAATTCCACACGAGTGAAGTCATATGGTATTTGTCTTTCCCTGAGTGACTTACTTCACGTAGTGTTAACACTCTCTGGCTCTATCTATGTTGTTGCAAATGACAAGATTTCATTCTTTTTTATGGCTGAATAATATTCTGTATAATACACAGACATACATATACCACATTTTCTTTATCTATTCATCTATCCTTGGACACTTGTGTTGCTTCCATAATTTAGCTGTTGTAAATAATGCTGCAGTAAACATAATGCCGCATGTATCCCTTTGAATTAGTGTTTTTGTATTCTTTGGGTAAATATCCAGTACTGTGGTTCCTGGATGGTAGGGTAGTTCTACTTTTTATTTTTTGAAGAATTTCCATTCTTTCTTCCACAGTGGCTGCACCAATTTGTATTCTTCTCAACAATGCATGAGGGCTCATTTTTCGGCATATCCTTGCCAATACTTGTTGTTTCTTGAGGGTTTTTTTTAGCCATTCTGACAGGTATGAGGTGATATCTCATTGTGATTTTGATCTGCATTTTCCTGATAATAACCAACGATGATAATCTTTTCATGTGTCTGTTGACCATCTGTCTTTTTTAGAGAAACATCTGTTCATGTCTTCTGCCCATTTTTTAATTGGACTATTTGTTTTTTGGGTGTTGAGTTATATAAGTTTTTCATATATTTTGGATAATAACCCTTTATCAGATATGTCATTTGCAAATATCTCCTCCTACTCAGTACATTGTCTTTTAGTTTTGCTGGTTATTTTTTGCTTTGCAGAAGCTTTTTCTTTTGATGAAGTCTCAATAGTTTACTTTTGCTGTGTTTTCCTTGCCTCAGGAGACAGATCTAGAAAAATGTTGCTGCAGTTGATGTCAAAGAAATTACTGCCTGTGCGCTCTCCTAGGATTTGTATGGTTTCAGGTCTCACATTGAGGTCCATAATCGATTTTGAGTTAATTTTTGTGTATGGTGTAAGGAAGTGGTCCTGTTTCATTCTTTTTCATGTTGCTGTCCAGTTTTCCCAACACCATTTGTTGAAGAGTCTGGTATTTTCCCATTGCATGTTCTTCCTTCCTTAGTCAAAGATTAACTGACCATATAATTGTGGGTTTATTTCTGTGTAGTCCCATGCTGTCATAAGATGATCCACTAATAAAGCTCCTCTCATTTTAAGGACAGTATTGAGAAGAGGCTTCCGCAAGATAGATGCAATTTTTAAATTCCAAATTGGGTTTATATATAATTTGAGTGAAAGGGCCCATCTTGATTCAGAGTATTAATAGCCAGGCATAAATGAAAATGAGTTTGAAATACATGAATCGTGTTTCTCCTGAGAGACTTCTAGACTAAAAGTTTCCATGTGCTGACTTGGAATGAAATCCTCACATTTTATTTAGATTTACAGAAATAAACAGAATGAGATTAATAATTACTACCTCACAGTGTTTTTACAAAGATCAGCTGAAATAACACAAGGAAGCATTTGGATACATCTTGAGATTCTCAATTCCCATCTATTCATAGTTATGGATGTTTTCAGACATCCAATTAATGTCTTGGCTTTTTAAGCCATTTAGTTTAAGGATCTCCCTCAATAATATGATATTGAGGGGTACCTGGATGGTTCAGTGGTTGAGCATGTGCCTTTGACTCAAGCTGTGATCCCAGGGTCCTGGGATTGTGTCCTGAATCGGACTCCCCACAGAGAAACCTGCTCCTCCCTCTGTGTTTGTCTGCCTCTTTCTGTGTCTCTCATGAATATATAATTAAAATCTTTAAGAAATAAAGAGTTGTGAGGAATAATAGGAGCATGTTCTCTATCACTTGAGTCCAAAGTAGTAACAGAAAAGGAAGGAAACGTATGTGAAAAGAATTATTGCAAGAAATCAAGTACAAATTCATATTGCCTAAAATATATCCCAATATATTTGACAGGTTATAGTCAAATTATCAAATATTTATACCTTTTTTGTTATTATGAAAAAAGCGAAATTGAAATCCTACAACCAAGAACTTACATATAGAATGAAAACATAAATTTTAAATAGTGGTTTTTTTTTTTCTTTTTTAAATAATAGTATTATTTGTTTATTGAAGAAACCAAGCAGTACAGATAGTCGTTAAAAAAATTTTAGGTCCTTTTCTGCCCCTGGACGCCGCCGAGTAAGTATCATTAAAGTCTCCCCTCCCACCGCCGCCGTCATGTCTAAGTCAGAGTCTCCCAAAGAGCCTGAGCAGCTGCGGAAGCTCATCGGAGGTTTAGGTTACCATCAATAGTATTATAGAAAAACAAGTCCTATTAATATTTTAGTGTATTTCTTCTCATGTTTCTTTTGTATATTTTCTTTTCTAATGTTACATTATGTATTTCTTATAAATAACTATACTGATTTTTCACACAGAATACTAACATAAATATTTTCTTGTTATACATGTTAAGATTATATTTTTTTTCTCATGAAAGACACAGAGAGACAGAGAGAGACAGCAACATAGGCAGAGAGAGAAGCAGACTACCTGGGGGGAGCCTGATACAGGACTTGATCCCAGGACCCCAGGACCACCTGGGCCAAAGGCAGATGCTCAACCACTGAGCCACCCAGGTGCCCCATACATGCTTCATAAATATTTTGGGGATACATAATCTTTGCAGATGTGTTTCAGATAATCATATTCCTATTATTGAGTTATTTAGGCTTTTTATAATTTTTCACTTGTATATAATACTATAATAAAAGTCTCTGCATAAATCTTTTTCTATTTTTAAAATGATGTCTTTAGGATGAATTTCCAGAAGTGTAATTATTAAATCAAAGAATGTGAAAAATTTTAAATTCTTGACACTTCTGTCAAATTGTCATTGGTGTTTCTGTCAAAAGACTTCTCTGTCAAATTGTCATTGGTGTTTCTGTCAAAAGACTTCCAATGTACTAAGCACAGAATATTATCTTTTTTGGAGTGCCTGTGGGTGCCTCAGTCAGTTGAGTGTCCAAATCTTGATTTCAGCTCAGGTCACAATCTCAGAGTCATCTAATCAAGCCCTACATCCATCTCCATGCTCAGCAGAGAATCTGCTGGAGATTATCTCGTTCCCCCTCCCTCTCTCATGCTCTCTCTCTCTCTCTCTCAAATAAATAAATAAATCTTTATTAAAAAAAAAAAAAGAAAGAAAGAAAAAGAAAAGAAGGGGAGCCTGGGTGGCTCAGTAGTTGAGCATCTGTCTGCCTTTGGCTCAGGTTGTGATCCTGGGATCAAGTCCCACATCGGGCTCCCTGCGAGGAGCCTGCTTCTCTCTCTGCCTGTGTCTCTGCCTCTCTCTGTGTATGTCTCTCCTGAATAAATAAAATCTTAAAAAAAAAAAATACCATCTTTTTAAGAATCTTTTTAAAATCCGAGTATCAGATAGATTACCTCTTTCTATATGTTTATTAACCAATTGTGTTTCTTTTTGAAACCTTCTTTACCCAAAATGTATTGGGATCTTGAAATTAAGAATCTTTCTAATCAAGTATTGTTGTTGTTGTTTTTCATTTTGTAGCCAAAGAAACTCTACCTGATTTGGTTTCCATAATTCCTGACACAGTCCCGAGTACTGATCTTCTCATTGAAACCACAGCCTCTGCCTGCTACACGTTGAACAATGTAATCCAAAATAGTTACCAGAATGCACGGGATCTTCTAAACACTGGGGGCCTGCAGAAAATCATGACCATCAGCTCAGGCGATGTGTAAGTCCTGTGGTATCTGCCAGTTGACTGTTTCCTCATTCGTCACCTCCAGTCCCATATGTAAATCTAGTTTTGAATGTCCACACATTGAGTACCATGGGTAATATGGACAAAACGAGATCCTAAAGTTGGGCCAGATCATCTGGTTCAATCCTTAATAATCAAACAAGTGAAAAACTGAATTCTCCAAGCCAAAGAGTTGCCCATTCTCTTCTAAAATATCTAGATAGACAAACTCCATAGCTTCCCTGGGTAATACAATCCAGTCTTTTATCAACCTGGTGAATTAATTTGATTCTCAAAAGAATAAAATAAGACCAACATAATCAGAAATTCTTGCTTTCTCAGTTTTCTCTATCACTTCTCTTCTATCTTTTATTCCCTTTTGAGAATAGGTCTAGTGTATATAAGCCATCCTACATCCCTGTTTCTGTCTCTTTAAATTTTCCCCATTAAAAAAAGACAAGAAAGAGAATGAAAAACATTGTGTAACAAAATTATTACTATTAGTTAATTTAGAGGCATAGAATCCAGAGGGGGCATCTTTTTCTCTTTTTCTCTTTACACAATTCTGAATTGTTTGACTTGTTAAATACAAGTTACTTTTGTAAATAACTAAGAAAGAGAAAAATGTTATATCCTGATTCTGATGAGTTGTGAAGCAAACAGACTTTCCCCTAGTAGACAGTGTGTGCCTGACCACACAGGTAAGCATAGGCGGGTCGGTGGTGTCCTGGAGTAAACACACATCTCCTTCCCTTCAGCCCCATTCAGGTGAGCCCTTGTGCTCTGCAGCCCCACTCTGGCAAACCTCATAGGAAAGGAAGACCATATTCAGAATCCTAGGATTAAAAGGAGTGCTGGTTAGAATGTTAATTCCGCAAATCAGAATATTCACCTGTCCCTACAGTCTGGCGGAGAACAGTTGCTCAGTCTTTATGGAAAGATTGAATGATTGCTGTAGAACAGAAATGACTATTTCAAGTAGTCATCCATGCTTATAAGCAAATCTCAGGAAGACCATGTGATTTTAATGATTTGAGTCTTCAGGTTTAAGAAGTGCATGAGCCTATGGATCACTTTTGGAAACTACTTATAGCTGAGCAACACATGGGATGTACTACTCTATTCTTTTTTTGCCCTGAGTGTCCATTTGCTCTGTCTAAAAAAAAAAAAAAAAAAATCAACAAAGAGCTTTTACCAGTTATGCCCACTGCCCTTTCCTTGTTAGTGTTGTATAGCTGATGTGTAATTTAGGGGCTAGCCTGGAAATCAGTTGCCATTTATAGCATTTTTTCTTTGAATAAATGATTTCCAAGTGCCACACAACCAGCCTTTTTTTTTTCACACAACCAACTTATAAACAAACTATGCTATAAAACCCTTGCAATTCAGAAATATTTTTCAATTTTAAATATTAAACAACCATAGCTCTCATGGATTTATTAGTGCCTCAGTATTAGCAAGTAACTCTGAAAAGTCCATGAACCACTAGAGACACCAGGGTGGCTCAGTGGTTGAGTGTCTGCCTTCGGCTCAGGTTGTGATCCCGGGGTCCTGGGATTGAGTCCCACATTGGGCTCCTCATAGGGAGCCTGCTTCTCCCTCTGCCTATGTCTCTGCCTCTCTGTGTGTTTCATTAATAAGTAAATAAAATCTTTAAAAAAAAAGTTCATGAAGTACTAAAAAAAATCTGTAAAGTGATGATTTGACTTACCCTTAGTGCAAGGCTGTTATGGAAAAGAAAGGCTTTTAGCTAATGAATGAACTCAGGATGTGCTTCTCCATACAGTATTGTATTTTCTATTCGTGGTTGCCTGTTCATAAATTCCTATGATATGAGAAATCTTTGTCAAATGAAAAAATTCAGCCGTGTGCTAGTTCAGGTAATGGAAAGAAAGAGCGTTAAGTAAGCATAGATCCTTAGCCAGAAACAGAAAATTCAGGACAAATTTTTTGTTTCATTTTTTACTTAAATTCAATTTAATTAACATATAGCATATTATTAGTTTCAGAGGTAGAATTTAGTGATTCATCAGTTGCATATAAACCCAGTGCTCAGTGCATCAAGTGCCCTCCTTAATGCCCATCACCCAGTTACCCCATTCCACCACCCACCTCATTTTAGAATAATTTTTTGTATATATATACACACACATTATAAACATACAAATATATTTCTATAGTGTATATACAATATTTGATGTAAATATATTTAATTTTATTTCTTTAATATAAAATAAATATAATAGTGTATATAAATATACAAATTGTAGTCTGTAAATAAATTCAAGGATTCATGAAATCTAAGGATATATTCCTTATAAGTATCAGGAATATACTCTATAAACTATTGGTTAGCCTGTCCTAATGGCCTTAAAAATGTTTTTTAGTAATTTTTTCTTTTAAAACCCAATGGCCCCCAGCCTTCAAAGCTCACTATCTAATTCTCTTGTCATGGTGAGTGGCCTGACTTAATGGACAGCCACCAAGTGACAGCAGTTAAAGAAGATATACAGAAGGTCCAAAGGCAGCATTCAGAAGCCTGACACGTTCTCACTGATCTCGGAATATGCCTTTTTCCTCTTTTCAGTTATGCCTCCAACAAAGCAAGTAAAGCTGCTTCTGTTCTCCTCTACTCTCTGTGGACACATACGGAGCTCCATAATGCCTACAAGAAGGTAAGAACACATATGAGTAGCAGTTAACATCCAGATTGTGGTGGCCCACCTTTCTGCCCCTGGTAAGAGATTGCTAAAAACTGCATTTTCTCATGTGAAAATGTTATTACCTTTCACATCTCTGTTTGCTTATTCCAAAGGCTCAATTTAAGAAGACAGATTTTGTCAACAGCCGGACTGCCAAAGCCTACCACTCCCTTAAGGACTGAGGAAAATGACAAAGTGCGCTCAGAAATCTCCACCTCACCATTGTCAGCCCCAAAAAAAGTCCCAGAGGAAAACACCTATTTTTCTACTTCCCAGCCCAAGAAACCTCAAAAAAACATGCCCTGTTTCTTAGTCCTTTTCTATTTTCAAGGTCCCATCCAGAAAACAAATAAGCAGAATATAATTTTATTAGTCTTCCAGAAAACTTTTGCAAGTTTGCTACCAGTAGACATAACAGGCTTTTACCCTCCAAAGATAGCGGTCTTTGTGATTGGGGCTAATGGCGCAGGGCCGCCTGGAATCAAAATGTGAATTCAAGTGGAATAAATATTGACAAAAAATAAAGAAGGAGGTGGTTGTATTAGTAGGATTTTAAAAGTTTGATTTACATTTATATTCCTTTAATGGTTTCCATGTTTTGTCACTCATATGCACGTTGCTTTGCCATTGAGCCACGAGTGTATTGTTCTGCAGTGTTGAACAGAATGGAAACGACAAGAAATATTTGCAGAGTTATCCAGGAGAAAATTTAATGGCAAAATTATACATTTGTTCATTTTGTGCTTGTTTTTATAGTCTTAAATTTTTTTCTTTGATTTGAAATGAACTTAAGAAATTTAGATCATAGAGCGTACATGACTCTAAGAAAACGAAATTGAAACGAAGTGATCATAGCAAATTTAAAAATCTTTTCACTAGAGAAAGGCAACTATGGTTATGAAATTCAGTGTTCCCTCTCAACACTACGTGTAAATACGAGCATTGCTCAAGGAAATACCTACCCTATGACAACACCATGAAATGCGAATCTCTCCTGAATAGTAGAATTCAGTGTGATCTATTGCCTGGACTATTTTAGCCATTTCAGTGGGCTGGTAGAAAAATGGACTCTGTATTCTTTAACTACAAAAGGAACCAAACCTCTCAAACTGGTGAGTGAAAACACAGCTCATTTGAATGAATTACACTATCAATCAGCCCAACTTTGCCCAACATTTAAAAAATAGCACAGAGCCCATAAATCTCATGTAATCTTCCTCAAGCCAGCATTTTAAGTCAAGGAAATTCTAGAGCAAAAAATATGAAGACATCATGTTGAAGAAAAATATGCAAAGGCTGCCCAAAAGTGATATGAGAAATACAAATGTTGAAAAGTTGGCATCATCTGTTAAAGCTAATCTATATCAAGTGTTCTTTTAACTGAGCTGTGATTAATACCATTTGCATAGAATTAGTCTCCTCGGCTACAATTCTGTTATATTTTGCGTTTTTTTTTTTTTTTAATATGACAATGTTTGCTATAAGAAAGTAAGAAGGAAAAAAAAAATCCTTCCACTCCTTTTGGCCAGAAAAGTGTAATAGAAAATAAATTCCCATTTTCAATTTGAATGTGTACTTAAGTCTTTATTGTATTTAGAAGCTGAAGTTCTTTGAATTTTAAAAGCTTGATGAAGAAGACTTAGATTACTAATCTAGTTCAAAATGAAATCAATTAGATACCAATTTTTAAATACTGAAAAGAAATCATCTTTTTCTAGAATTTTGTTGAATACAATTTGGAACATGATTTATTCCTCCAGATAACTGATAGAAGTTTGAGAAGTTTCTGTGTTTTTTAAGGCATTAAAAAGGTTCTTAGTAGAACCTTCAATGATATTAAACACAAAAGGAGGCAAAAATAATGTCGCCTGCATTGGTATCTGTGTATATCTGTTTTATTTGTGGATCATGGTATATGTGGTATGATTGACATGACATTTGAAGATCTGACCTTATAAACTTCAGTTTCTAAGGGTTTAATACTTTGTTTTTATTTCTTCCCTACGTAAAGCCCTAAATTCTTTACCCAGAAATACTTCCTAAAAGAAAAGTGGAACTAGCTAATGACTAAAGCATAGAAAAATGGAGAGACATACAAATGTGATAGATTTTAGTAAATTGAGTGGGTCTGTGACCCTGACAAGATAGATTGTGTCTGATCCCCATGTCCTGCTTTGTTCATTCCGCTTACCAAAAACCTCACCACTTTACTATCTGTGGGTATTTCTGAAGGAGGTTCTTGTGTTGAGTATCAGTTTTGACCACAGGTCCACACAAAAAGCTCTTTTCTGAATATGTGTTCCGACCTTGCCCATGTCACCAAGGGAGTTGACGGGCTGAGCAGGGTCATTTTGTCTATCTGTTCCAAAGGGCTGCTACCTTGTCAAGAATTCTTAATGGTTTTCTGGCATATGGGAGGTCGCTGCCTGGATTTCTATCACTGGAAACATTTGTTTATACCTAATGGAAATAATCAAAGGGTTATCCAGCAAGATAGGGTATTAACATGTCAAATAGGAAATTAAGCAGCATGAGTAGATAAACCACTTTAAAGTGAGTTTAATCACCCTCTGAAAAAGCAATTTCTTAGAATAAAAAAAGGAAATAGGAAATATATATATATTTAAATCTATCTTTATATACATATACTTTATTTGTAGTATAGTTATAAATGAAATTTCCTCTAAAATGTGTAATGAACTTATTATGCTTTGGAATGAGGATGACTTCAGTATGTTTGTACTTTCAACAAAATCACAGAAACCTCTAATCGTAGGATCTGAGGATTAGGGGGGAATTTAGAGGACATCTGGTCAAGTCCTCCTTAAAGTATCGTCTTGCATCAGAAAAGACGCAGGTCTTGTTAAAGTAACAGGAGAAAAATATGCAGTCATTCATTGAGTTAATGCTCAACATGACCCTGTAATTCAGTCATTTTAAGAGTCAGTAACTGTTGCATTAGAGTATTTGTTGTGGAAGAGAAAATAAATAAGGAAACAAACTTTTCAAAATAAAATACCGCTTTAGATTTAATGTTTTAGTTGACAGTGGCACCAAGAGTTATCATCTCTTTAAGTAAACTTCAACCTTCTAAGGACTATATGAGAAAGAAAAGCTCTCTTTTTATGACATATTTGGGAAAGAGATCAAAATGCACTTAAGTGGTAAAAGAGCTGTTTAAAATATGAGTGAAAGGGAAAGCATCCTCAGAAACCATAGCTGGGGTTAGTCATGATTTAGTAAAACCTGAAAATCAATGATTTCAAGAGATTGAGGACTAGTTCTCAAATATCTTATTTCATTCCCACTGTAGTATGCTAATCTGCAGGCAGGAAGGCAACTCCAAAGGCAGTTATTCACCTAGAGGAGCAGGTTGAGGCAGCAACAGACATTTCTACATCCAGCTGATCAAACCTTGTCATAAAACTCACATCAAGAAGCAGTTAAATCTCTCCAAGGCCTGGATTTCACCTGTAAGCTAACATACAATGCATCTGGCAAGGAATAAAAAACAAGTCCAAACTTGTAGATTTTCCTATAACTGTAATATGTTCTCCCCAGTAACAAGTAATCCTTTGGGAGTTTTGTTTTAGAAGAGAAAGGGGGATGTGGTTCCCCTTTTATTTTTTTTTCCCCTTTTAATTATCTTTCAACATACATGTATTTGAACATTTATTTATTCTGGAGCTGAAGACCAATGAGATGCATCTTCATGGGAAAGTGCTCACCGATCTGAGTGAAATGAATTCTCTGTGATGGACACACTTACAATTTACAGTATCCTTTGCATTATCAGGAAATGATGAATGATGAAATGATGACATTTCATTTCCTGGGAAGTGAATCTCAGCATCCTATAGGGTGGGAGTTGGGAAGCACTAGACCCATATAGAACTTCTGGAATAGGTCTCTTAGAAAACGAGAAATGGTTAACCTGAGAGGCAGAGGATTATTAAGAAGATACCTGCATTTTTAGCCAGAAGGAGTTGTCAGAATTGATATCCTTTAATAAGAATGTGTGAAAATTCTAATGTTTAGAAAATTGACAAAAAATTTTTTTCTCAGGAATCTGTTTTACCTCTTGCCCTAATTGGAGATTTTTACAGTTCCTAATATAAAAAATAGAAGTAGTCTATTTTTGTGGCATTGCCTGAACAGCTTTTTATAAGAATTATGTGTGAACGTATTAAGTAGCACATTCCTACTTCTTCTGGTGGCTCATACCTAAAATGACCCACTTCCTCATGTCAAGGTTCTATTTCTCCTGCTTTAGTTTCTCGCTTAAGATGATGTTTCATTTGCATTTGAGTAACAAAAAAGTTCAACTCAAGTGGCTTACACAATAAACGTATTTATTCCATGTAACAGGAAGACCAAGTTTAGGCACAGGTTTGGTTATTTCAGCAACTCATTGAAGTCCTCAAGAATCTAGATTCCTTCAACCTTTCTGCTCTGCCATCCTCAGCACCTTTGCTTTTGTCACCTAGTTGATTTCTCCATGTTGACAAAATGGTTGCGACATCTCCACACATGTCATCTTTATAGGACCATGTCTAAAGGCCAGAAGAGCAAGCATTCTTTACTTACATCCATTTTTTTAATAAGTAAAGAAAAATTTCCCAGAGGCTTCTGTCAGATATCCCCATTTCATATTACCCAGAATTCTATCAGCTGTCCATTCTGAAATCAATTCCTGGTGAGAAAAATGAAACTACTGTTCCTTTTTCAAACCAGTCACATTTCACCTAAGGCTGAACCAAGATGCATGGATGGGGAATACTTGAACAAAATCAAGGTTTTATGAGCAAGGACAGAAGGGGCTGCAGAGTAGTTAACCAACATTGCCTGCCATCTGTAGGGACACTCAGAGAAGAAAAAATTCAATATTTTTTTTTAAAGAATTCAACATTTTTAGCAACCAGACTTCATTTGGCCTATAAAAGAAGTATTGTCTCAAACAATGCCGGAGAAACAATAAGTTTGTCTTGCACAGCTGTTGCATCACATTTGGGACAAAGTCCAGGAGGGTTTGTAGCTAAAGAATGATGGAAGAGGGGATCCCTGGGTGGCGCAGCGGTTTAGTGCCTGCCTTTGGCCCGGGGCACGATCCTGGAGACCCAGGATCGAATCCCACATCGGGCTCCCTGCATGGAGCCTGCTTCTCCCTCTGCCTGTGTCTCTGCCTCTCTCTCTCTCTGTGACTATCATGAATAAATAAATAAAATCTTTAAAAAAAAAAAAAAAGAATGATGGAAGAGGTGGCAACTGCAGTTAAACCAATAATCATGATTTCAAGGAGAATAATGAAAGAAGCTGATAAAACTGATGCTCAGCAGAACAGTAGAGGTGGAATAAAATTATTTCAGAAGTACTGTGCCTCTTTTTCATTCTCCTTTTCTTGACATCTACCATTCCTCGCCTTTAGTAATTACGGATCCCAAGTGATACCTTCATTGACCAGATCATCTTAGAAGAACATGGGGCCTGAGCCTGAGGTGTTTGGATAATCTCATCTCCTCAGTGAGACATCAGTTTAGCCAGTAGACACAACATGGATTTGAATTCTGACTTTAGCTCTTACTGGCTGTGTGACTCCGGGGAGTTTACTTTAACTTTCTGAGTCATTGGTAAAATGGAGTTGACAATTCCTGCTTCATAGGATTGTTCAGGGAATACAATGAGCTGATATGTTCGTAACGCTTGGTGCCTGGGCACTCAACCTCCTGTGGATCTGGCTGCCACCAGGGGTTCCCTAGCCTTCAGCTTCTGCCTCTGGTTTCATTCCCCTGCTTTTCACAGTGGCCCAGGAATCATTTAGAGCAGAAAGCACATTTGATGGTGATGAAACGAAGTGATGAGAGACAGAGGGAAACTTCCCTGCTGAATCTCCCTGCCCCCTCCAGCCCCGCTTCATGCTTTCTGGTCCTGCTCACTTTTCTTCTGCTGCTCGGTAATCCACAACGCCACGGTCTCTAGGCCTGCCCGTTTCCACTCCAGACTCTATTCTCCTGAAGAACTCAAATCAGGGAAACCTACTAGGAGCACAAAGTGAAAAGACTCCCTTTGCTGCTAGAGTTGCAGCAGGAGATGACATGTTCTTGCTATGGAAATATTAAATAATGTTTTTCTATTCAAGAAGGGTATTTGTGCTATTTAGGGCATTTGTGCTATTATTTAAATAATGCATCAGGTCAATCAAACAGTAGAGCTTAATTTTCTTTTCTGGGACACCTGGGTGGCTCAGTAGTTGAGCATCTGCCTTTGGCTCATGGGGTCCTGGGATCGAGTCCCATGTCAGGCTCCCCACAAGGAGCCTGCTTCTCTCTCTTCCTCTCTCTGTGTCTCTCATGAATAAATAAATAAAATCTTTAATTTTTTTCCTTTTTTCCTTTTCTGAAAAAAAAGTGATTTTTTTTTAGAGTGTTCTGATACTTTTCCAAAGTGAATTTTGAAGTGTGCATGAAAGTTCGGTATGGCATAAACAGCTCATGGCCCCCACTACATCCTTTCTCACTTTCCCCCAACACAATAGAATTTTTGACAGGACACAGGATGCCCAGTGTAAAGAC